GACTCTCCTTAGGCACACTCTACATCATCGATCACTTTCCTCTTTGTCCCCATAATCTCCTTGATCAGAAAATTTGGGACACTACCGAGTTACATGATGTCACAGTATGAGTTCTCATATGTCCTGAGTCTTAATTGACCTTATTGGTACATTTTAGATAGATATAATGATCACACTATTCATAGGTAATTTGTACCTGTACATGATAGTTCTGGAAATATTATCCAGAGCAATTAGACAAGAGAAAAATATAAATGCAATAAAGAAGAGGTTAAATTGTCATCATTTGTAGGTAGCATGGCACTCTGTAGGGATGACTCCAAGAACTCTTAAGGAGTATGATCTTAAGGTGTGTCCATTTACCTAAGAATGTCTTGAATTTACCCTTCTTAATGGCAGAGTAGTAGTACTCCATAGTATTGGAAAACCGCATCTTCATCCATTCACCAGTTGATAGGCATTTGGGCTGTTTCTATGAGTTAGGTATTAAAAACTATAGCTTGGCTTGTTTGGTCAGTGGACATTTAACTTTACAAGACATGGCCAGTTCCTCTCTCTCTCTCTCTCTCTCTCTCTCTCTCTCTCTCTCTCTCTCTCTCTCTGTGTGTGTGTGTACCAGTTTACATTCCTGTAAGAGAATACTAGTTTTGTATTCTCTGTGACACTTGGTATTTTAAACTATTCTAATAGATTGGTTGTGATATAGATTGGTTGTGGTATTTCATTATTGTAAAGTGCATTTCTTTCATACTTAGTGGTGATTTTTTTTCTTCGATTTCTTTTTTGTCTTTTCTTTGAGATAGGGTTTCTTTTTTTTTTTTTTGAGATAGGGTTTCACTATGCAGTTTAGGCACATGTTGAACTCACTTTGTAGCCCAGGCTGGCCTTGAATTTAGTGTGATCCTCCTGTCTCAGCCTCCTGAGTGCTGGGGTTATAGGCATGCTCCACCATGCCCAGCCTTATAGTCATGATTTTTGTATAGTACACTAGGTATCTATCCTCTAGTGATTGCAGTGCTATTTGTTGAAAATGCTGTCTCCACTTAATTGGTTTTCTTTCTTTTTTTTTTTGTGGTACTGGGGATTAAACTCAGGACCCTGCCCTTGCCAGGCCAGTGTTTATTCTACTGGGCTATCTCCCTGGCCCGGATATGGCTTTCTATATGTGTGTATGTATGTGTGTGTGTGTGTGTGTGTGTGTGTGTGTGTGTGTGTTTATTTATTTATAGCTGTGTTCTATAAAGTTCCCATGAACACTGATTTAGTGAATATATTACTCCTTGGAGAAACTTAGAGTTACTGTGAGCCTCTGGTCATCACATTTTGTTATCTAATCAGTATATAACCTTGTTCTCTGTGTGTCTCTTTATTTTATTTTTTGCTCCGAATGCCTTCAGGGCAGGTTTGGCTGGTTTGAGTTGTGGGGATCAAACCACAGCAACCTGAGCCGGACTGCTTTGTTGAAGCAGCCACGTACAGAAGCTAAGGGGCAGGCCCCCGTGTGTCTCTTTAGTATACTTTATTTAACACAAATTTTTGGCAGATTGACTTTGGGCTCAAAGTAGCATGACAAATCCCTAGATGAAGCTTACCTAATTGTGAAAAACACATGCATGTCTTAATGTGAAGAAAATTTACCTGTAACCCTCTTGTGCTCTGGGATACTATACAGCACATGAACACTTTGCTTGGGAGAAAATTTAAACACTGAAATCAACAAAGTGCACAGTGTGCCAAAGGGGTGTGACTAAGTAGATGCTTGTTTGTGGTGTGAGAGCAGACTCGAAAGCAGAGTGCAGCCTTGTTTGCTCTTGGAGGGAATGTTGAGCCTGAGGCAGCTCAGGGTTTTTACTGGTCTGCAATGAAATGAGCATGAAGATTCCATCCACACTGATTCTGGGGTTACAAATGAACTTAGGAAGTGGGTGAATCTACAAATACAGAATCTGTGAATAATGAGGATTATGTGCATGTGTGTATAAAATGACTGTGTAGACTTCTTTCTAATGGTTACCTTGACATTCTATATGTTTCCATTTTTGCTTAAACGTCCAAATGAGTCTGTCAACTTCTACAAAAATGCTGCCTGGATTTCTAGCTCTGTTTACATTGAATCTCTGATCAATTGGGGAAGACTTATTTCCCTCACAGTATTGACTGTGTAGACTAATTCAAGACTTTTGAAGCAAAAAAAAAAAAAAAGTTGATGGAGCTATAGTAATCACAGCAGTGGGACTGACATCAAGATAGACACATAGATTAATGAAAAGAATACCATTATTTATATCTGCCCCCAAAATACTTCCCCCCTCAAGGAAACATGTTAGTTTGGTTGAACGTGAATACTTTTCTTATCGAGATCTTTACTCAATGTAGCTTTCAAAAATGAAAGTTACTGAAGCTCTTTTAAGATTGTGATTTTCCCCCCCTTGAATAAATGTGTCTTGTTGTCTAATGGCTAATTTTGTTACCTAGGCAAGTCCGGTCAGAAAACAAAGAAAAGAATGCAGTGATGTCTTTTACCGTTACAGATGAGCCTGTCTACATTGACTTGACTTTGTCAGAAAACAAAGAAGAGGTAAGTGGTTTGAAGGTTTTTTTTTTTTTTTCCTCTTCAAGAAATGGCTTTGGATTTTATAACTTCATTTTTACTATCAGAATATTGGTATGAGGGAATAATGACAAAAATGTAACTGAAAATCTCTTAGATTGCCTAAGAAGTTATTAAGTCAATATGATAGTTTCTCATGGGAGGAAGGGGAAGCTTTAGATACAAAGTAAACTAAGCAAGTACGGGGGATGGTGTTCAGTCCCTGGCACCACCTGCTGTGCTGGCCCCGCCCCCAGGCACCTGGCCAGGCCACTGAGTCTGGGCGTGGTAGTGTACACCCGTAATCTCAGTACTGGGGAGGCTGAAAACAGGAGGATCTCTATGAGTCCGAGTTGTGTAGTGAGACCCTGTACCAAATACATTTTTTAAAAAATGCATTTTTTGAATTAGCAGAAGTTGATAAGAGATTTTGTTAAAAGGAATATTTATAAATAATATGTGCTTGCTGCATCAAACATGTTCTTTTTTGGATTTTTTATATTTTATTGAGAAAGAACTAGCAATGAGATAGTTTCAAAACAGGTTAGTAGGACAGTTACAATAATTAATACATTGCATATTGTTTTCCTTGTAGTTATTCATAGTACAAGATGCAGACATGATATCTTGTCTGAACACTTAGTTCAAAACTTCTCATTGAACTAAGAGAAAGTAGCTGTATATCTATGCTACTTTGTGTATATATATATATATTTTTTTTCCCCCCACACTACAAAATGGTCCTTCATTTATATCCCCCTTTTTTGTTTACTTTTGTCACAGATATGTATTCCATTGCCATTCATATATTGTAGGTGCATGAATTCAGCAAAGTAATCGAATATTGTCCAGTAGTCCATAATAGTTATCTGCAGGACTGGCAGTGTTTCAAACACATTTTTGAATTCTAAATTTGTTTGGGTCCCAAGGTGTATTTTATTGTGAGAGTTTTACTTGTTTGTTTTTTTATATGTAAGGATTTTTTTAATGTAAAAGTTTGTGACTTACATATTTTAGCATTAAATAAATCTGATTTTATTGATGTTCTTTATAGTCATATTTCTATTAGATTAAGCTATATAGGAAGGCCGACCAAATAGCCCAGCGGATTAAAGCACCTGCAAGTAGGCACAGGGGCTGGGGGTTTTGTCTCTGGGCTTCCCTTACCAGCCCCTCCCTTGGGGCGTGCTGAGCCAGCAGTTGAGACTGGGCATGGTGGCACATGCCTGTAATCCTAGCTCTGTAAACAGGTGGATCACTGAGTCCAATCTAGTAGTGAGATCCTGAACACCCTATAGAACCTTCCCTTTAAAAAAAAAAAAGCTATGTAGGATTTTTATTGGGACACAGTCTTTTTGAATGAAAGCTTAAATTTCAGTTTTATTTATGTATTTATTTTTTAATTTTTTAAAATTTATTTATGTGTGTGTGTGGCCAGCTCAGCCCACCAGGGGACAGGGCTGGCTGGCATGTGGTGCTGGGGGATTGAACCGCGGTCTCTGTGCTTCGCTAAGTAGGTGCTGTAGACCACTGAGCCATCTCACCAGCCCCTAAATTTCAGTTTTAATCCAGTGTAAATTTTGAAACGCTTGTGTTACATAACTCTCAAACTGGAATTTAGAGATGAATCAGAAATTTTTCATCATATATATATATATATATGTATTGGGGATCCAACTCGGGACCTTGCACTTGCCAGGCAGGTAGCCACTGAGCTATATCCCCAGCCCCAAACATTCTTTATATTTCAGTTTCTTCTGATGTAATAATAGTTATTCCCTTAATTTTCTCATTAAATTTATCAGTTAGAATAGAGAGAGCAACTTTTTATAAGAGTTCCATATTCCTTTAAGCTTTCTTTAAGAGGCCTTCAAAGTGCTGTGTAGATCCTTGGGAGCCCAGCTGCAAGTGTGGTACCTAGAAGAATCCAGACCAAGAGGGTCTGAGAACTGACAGGAAGAAGGGAGGGGATGGATTTCTAGAATCCCATCCCAGCCATAGATAGTGCAGCAGCCCTGACTACTCTGATCTGTGGGGCAGGGCAGGTCTGTGTTGCCAGCCTCAGCACTTGGTAGCCACTTGTTTAATCTAACTTTGAAGCTGTGTTCTCAGTGCCAATGTCATCTGTAGACATTCACTTACAATTGTTTATTTTGTCTTTTTTGGGGGGGGTCTCTTTTTGAGACAGGCTCTTGCTGTGCAGTTCAGGCTGACCTTGAGCTCACTGTGCAGGCCAGGCTGGTCTTGACCTTGCAATAATCCTCCTGCCTCAGCCTCCCAAGTGCTGGGATTATGGGCATATGCTACCACACCAAGATTCACTTACATCACGCTTGATATTTTGTCAGAGAAACTTTCTATTTTTATTTATTTTTAAATTTTTTTCTTTTTACATATTTAGTACAGAGTCTCCAGGATTTCACTGCACAGATTGGACTTACAGTGACCCTCCTGTTTTCAGCCTCCCAAATGCTAGGATTACAGGTGTCTGCCACCACACCCAGTCCTAATCTCCGTTTCAGGGGGCCCCTTGAGTCTGGGGTTTGAACCCCTGGCCCCTGCATCTGCCTAAGCAGGTGTTTTAATCCACTAAGCTATCTGGCCGGCCCACAGTAATTATTTTTAAATATATGTTTATCTGCTTAGCAAAAGGGATGGGTAGAGAGTTGAGTTTTCATAAGTTAGATTGGAGACTAAAGTATGCTATTCATTAATCAGCTATATTTTTCTTTTAGCCTGTCAAGTTAGCTGTTGTTTGCAGAGATGGTCAAGTTCATCTTTTCGAACATGTATTGAATGGGTAAGTTTTCAAGTCAGAAATTCATTCTCTTATTACTTTTTCATAGTCTTCCATCTTTGTTCTTTGCATATACTTTTTTTTTTTTAATTATTTGGTACAGGGTCTTACTATACAGGTTAGACTTACAATGATCTTCCTGTTTTCAGCCTCTCCAGCACTGGGATTTTTATTGTTTTCTTGCCGCACTGGGATTAAAACTCCTAGGCGCTTTGCATTGAGCTACATCCCTAGCATTTTTTAAAGAGTTTTTGATTCATTTATTTATTTATGGATTTTTTTTTTTTTTTTTTTCTTTTTTTGGTTCCTCGAATGCCTTCAGGGCACTTTTGGTCAGCGGGAGAGTTGTGAGTTTCGAACTCTAGCAACCTGAGGCTGACAGCTTTGTGGAAGCAGCCACTTAAAGGACTGAGCTAGGGCCAGGCCCCCTCATTTATTTATTTATGAAACAAGGTCTTGCTATGTTGCACAGATGGGACCTGAGTAGTTAGTCTTTCTACCTCAACCTTCCACACTGTAGGGATAACAGATATATTCCACTCGCTACAGCTAGCTTGAAAGCATTTTTTTTTTTTGGTGGTACCAGGGATTGAACTTGGAACCTTATGCTTACCAGGCAGGCACTTAAACTGCTAAGCTATCCCTCTGGCCCTTGAAAGCATTTTTGAGTCTTTTATCTGTGAGTATAGTAAGGGCTATATGAGTACAGTAAGCGTTTCTGGATTATTTATTTGTATTTAGGAGAGTGCTTTTTTGTTTGTTTTGTTTTCTGAGACAAGAGTCTGTGTAGTACAGTTTGGCTTTGGACTTGAGGTGGTCCTTCTGCCTCAGCATCCTACGTGGTGCAGTTATGGGCATGTGCTACTGTGCCCAGCTCAGGAAAGTGGCTTTTTACAATGCATGCTTGATAAGCTCTAAAAATTAATTTTAAAAAAAGTTGCTCAGGACCCAGTTTCAATTCCCAGTACTGCTTGTTGTGCTGCCCCAGAAGTGGACGTGGTGGCGCATGTCTGTAATCTCATCACTGGGGAGGCTGAGACAGGAGGATCACTGTGAGTCTGAGCTATGAGTGAGACCCTATATGTAATAAATAAGTACATACATAAGTAAAAATATATTTTAAAAAAAATGGCTCAGTTGAAGATTTGCTTGGCTACTTTGGTGATATTTTAATTCTGTTTTTCAGACTGCTTTATTTTCTCTTGCCTATATGTGTGAGAATCATAATGTGTATTTGATAGTGAGATGGTGTTGCTGGATTTTGTAGTATAGTAGTCATAGGTCAGAATTTAGCAAGATTATGTCCTGGAAGTCAGACTCACATATCACCTGTGGCTTGAGGAATGTGGCCCCAAAAATCAGGAAATATTTACTTCAGTCTCTTTACAGAAAAAGTTTGCCAAATGTTGTCATATATTTGTGAGCATGGTGACAGTTATATTTTAAAATGATTGCAACTTTTTATTGTCAGCACCTATCCTTATTTTAAAATATTAGCATAGGAACTTATAAACTCATCATGAAAAGCAGAATGTACTAATTTTCAAACATTCAGGAAATCCTGAGTCTCTGCATTGAGTTCTCCTTGAGGTAACTTTTAGCTTGTACACCCTAAGGTTCTGTGGTCACAGTGATGTATGTATATGGGATATAGAATTTACCAGAGGAATTGAGGGCCAGAAGTAGTGGATATTGTACTTACTTAAAGTAATAAGCCTTTCAGGAGTGTTAGGCAGAGGAATAATGCTGTTTGGCTTTTTTTCTTTTGCACCGCGGATCGAATTTGGGACCTTGCACTTGCCAGGCAGGTACTTATGCCTCTGAGCTATCTCCCTGGCTCTGGCTCTTCTTTGAAACAAGAATGCTTTTTAGTTCAGGCTGGTCCTAAACTCAGCTTTAAGGTTAGCCTTAAGCTTTCTTGTATCAGAGTGCTAGGTTACAGGTATGCCCCACCATGCCCAGCCAGAGCTGTTTTGAGGCAGTCTTTTTTTTTTTTTTTAAGCCATTCTGCTTATATGTTGGAAGTAACCTAAAGAGAGGTGAAGGCCAAGGGAGAGATGCAAAGTCCTGGGTCTAGCGATAGTTTTGAAGTAAGGATACCCAAAGGAGTAGGTTAGAAAGATAGTTACAGTAAGATACTCCTAAAAGTGAGATAATAGTGTTTGCTTACAGGGAATAAACTGTAAGATGTCTGTAGAGTATGAGGAGTGTGTCATTAAGATACAGTGAAAGAAATCATTGGAGTAAAAATCAAGAGATCAGAGTTTCAGAAACATCTTCATCCTGGATACTAAGTGTGAGAGTTTATAAGAAAGGAATTCAGTGGTAGTGTTGGGAAGAAACACAAGTCTGTTGAAATCTTTAATAAGTATGTAGTAATGACCCAAGGATAGCATGAAGTAGGGTAGCTGGTATTGATGACAAAAATTCAAAGGTTTTTGGAGTGAAGGAGAATACCATCTTGAAGTTTTCCTTAGAGAGTAAGGAGCATACTTAAATCATGTCTAATGCCCCTGGTGTAAAGGATGTGGGACAGAAAATAGCTACAATTTGGAAGGGCTGCAAGGATGAGCCAGGGTAGATTGTGTAAAACATGCCCTTTGAGAAGACATGGACAGTGTGGTCTGTTACTGGAGCTTTATCTGCAGAGACTGTGGTAAAGTAAAGCTTTTAGGGTTTGGGAGCAGTGGATAATGAGGACTGGCTGGAAGAGGTACAAACAAGAGCTGTGGGAGCTTGGAGCTTCCTTCTGGAGCAGACAAAGTAAGACAGACTGGCAGGCAGTTCTCAAGGCCAGTTTTTGTAGGAAGGTATTGGAGAGGCAAGTGGAGTCTTGAAAGGCACACTGCTCCAGGGAAGTACTTATGTCCACTGTGGTAGTGGGTAGTGGGGAGGCTGGAGGAGGGTTGTGTTTCCTAGCTTGATGCCAACGTCCAGGAATTAGTAGGTGCTACTTCAAATTCTCTAATCTTATTTATTGTTTTTTACATTCCTAGACATTGCAAAAAACCTTTGACTTCAAACTGCACAATTCAGATAGCAACACCTGGGAAAGGAAAGAAGTCAACGCCAAAACCCATCCCTATTCTAGCAGCTGGATTTTGCTCAGACAAAATGTCCTTGTTGCTTGTGTATGGCAATTGGTTTCAGCCTACTATTGAGCGAGTGGTACGTAGATGTTTCTCTGGGGAAAAGCAGCACAGCATCAGCCTGTCTAAGGGGAGAGAGTGATTTTAAAAGTGACACATTGACTTGTACTTACCAGAATACTTATGGAGAAATGGTAGATTCTGTTAATTCATGAACCTTTCATTGGGTGGTTTGTTTTTCAATTTTAAAGAACTTTAATACAATATAAACTATTTCAGTCCCTCTTAACATGTAAGACACTGACTCAAGATATGTTTTTTTCATGTAATGTACAATAGGTACAGAATTTGTAGTTACAATTACATTTTCTTCCATAATATATAGCAAAAATCTTTAAACCTATAATAGAAAATACTTCTAAAAAACACAAATATTCGTACCTTTACTGGGTGGCTTATTTTAATTTATAAGAATCTTGTTTTACTCAACATAACATATCTAAAATAGTATTTTCACATGGAGTTGACAGAAAGGATGAAGCGTTATTAAGATTGCCCCTTCCTTGTAGTATTCTGTCTTGGAAATCTGGATTTTATATTTATAGCCATCGGTTTGAACTAGCCACGGTTCATGTGCTTGGTACCTACATATTCTTAGTAGCTAGTATGGAGCCAGCACAGGTGTGACTTATATTCAGTCACATAAAATGTAAACCTCAGTAATAAGAGCCCTTAGTGATAGTACCCTTTGGACTTTCTAAGTGGATGTGTAGTGCGCAGTACAATGACTTTTCATTGGTTACCATGGAAGTTTCTCAGAATGCTTATGAATTAGTAGCATATTGAATAGGTGATTTCATAAAGTTGCATTTATAATACATAGTAAGACCCTCAGAGAGACTATCAGTAAAATATTACAAGGCCAAGCAAGCTTTTGTTGTGTTTATGAAGACTACTTCTCCCACCCCCCATGGTGTTGAGCATCAAACTCAGGGCTTTGTACATGTTTCACCAGCACTCTGCCGTGAGCTATATACACTTTCAGCCTAAAGAAAACTTTAAAAATATTTAGTATATACACATGGCTTGATTTTTTTCAAAAGGAGGAAAGTGTGAAGCTCTAAATACACCTTGCTCTATGCCCCTCTAGCTAGTGTTGCCTGCTCTGTCCTTGTAGGTGTTGATTATACAAAGAGTTGTGCATGACCTTGGACCTGTGTCGGTGTCTGTATTGTTTGCTGCTGTGAACTCTGCCCCTCCAGGTCTGCCTCAGAGCATTTTGTCTTATCAGCAGTGTTAGCTTTGACTTGCTCGAAGGAAATTTTAGAATAGGACTGTTTATTTTGAACATAATGCTTTTCTTTATAAGGATGATGATCTGTTCTGCTTTCCTTAAAATCTGGTAGGTTAAAAAAAAAGCTCTTGGCCTTTTAAAATGATAAATTGAAAAATTCAAGCTCAGTGTTCATACTGAGAAAACTATATACTTGGCCTAGTGTTTTCCGCTGCTTGCTGTTAATCTGAGTAGTGTTTATGGTTGGTTAGCAGTATAGTGTTGAACCCTACTTTTTTTTGAGACAAAATTTTGCTCAGTAATTCAAGCTGGCTCAGCTTGTGGTAATCCTACTACTACCTCTGCCTCCTGAGTAGTGGGACTGCAGGTGTGTGCCACCATGCCTGGCCTTGTGTTAAGCCCCTCCATGCTTTTTAAAAAGTTTTTAAAAAAATATAGTAAGTCATTTTTTATTTTGTTTTTATTTCCAGCTAATTTGTTTGACACTATTTTTTCTTTATGTACCTTAAAAAAATATATTTCTAGGCTTTAAACTCCAAAGAGCCTCACATGTGTTTAGTAAGAGATACTTCAAACTGCTGGGCCCCAAAAGTAGAAACGGCTATAACAAAGGTGAGTATGTTACAAATTAGAGGTTGAGAGATTTGAGCGAACTGAATTACAGTATTGTGTTTACTGCCTTAATCTCTCACTCCTTTTTTTTTTTTCTTTTAAGTTTTTGGAACTGGGAATCGAACTCAGGACCTTGTGCTTCCCAGGCAGGTGCTCAGCCACTGAGCTGTATCATACTTGGCCTGATATTTTGATTCTTTAATCCTGTTTGTTATCTTCTTAATTTTGTAGGACTATGGCCTTGGATATCAAGATTATAGAACTATTTTTGTACTTCTGGTTTGTTGACTGAGTGGACAGAGAATGGGTTTACTTTTCCCCTGCTCCCTAAGCATGCTTGCCTGGACAAGAAAATATGTAGGAATAAATGTGAAGTTTAGCAATGAATAATCTTATCAGGACTGAGGATGTAGCTCAGCAGTGTAGTGTTTGCTGGCCCCGAACTTAAATTCCTGGTTACAGAAATGAAAATAGATGGGGGAGGGGGGGAAGAAAAAAAGAGAGACCCCCCCCCTTTCTCCCACACCCCTGCCCCAAATCATCAATCTCAGCACTGAGAGAGCATGATAATATTTTTGGAACCAATGCTGTATTTCTGCGTCAGATAAAACCACAGTGGGGCCAGAATATATTGGCACACATAAGAGGGATCTGGTGACATACCTCTGAATGTAACACAGTCTGGATGTACAGTCCTATAGTTTAGGGAAAAAAGGAAAAGCTAGGATATGCTGTGATGACACCCACTTGGTTTCGCTTCTGGCTGAGTTTCAGAGATGACACCTTTCTCTTGGCTGTCTGAGCATTTCTGGCAAAGAATGAATTCTGGTGGTAGTCATAAAAATTATTCTTTATCATTTTTAAAAGTCAGCATGTCTTTTCATAATCTGTAGATTTTTTCTTGGATTTTACTCTTAATGAAGTAACCATGAACTTTCAGATTATCGTTTAAACATTTACCATATCTAATTAAAATTTATGTTGAATTTCCTGCATGGTAAGTGAATTATATTGTGTTTTCTAATGGAAAGGCTTCTTGAAAGCTGTATTCTCTCTTTTGCTAGATATTCAAAT